TCAATTTTAAAAATTTTTTTTACTTTAACAAAATCCAACCGAAAAAAAAAGAAAAAAAAGATTTTCCACTAAGCTAATCAATTAAAAAGGTTAAGTTTACGAATGCAATATTTCGAATTAAATTTATTGTCGCGGTTGATGTTGAAATTTGAGGTCTCCATTTGAAAATATAAACCCTGTCAAAATCCACATATACACTTTAATTATCAATTCTTGCCCGAAATCCTAACCCAACCCTAAGAAAAAAAAAACGGAAAAAACACTCCAAAAAATTTTAAAATTTCATATCAAAATAGGTCCAAATTTCAGTATCAGCCGCACAATTATTGTTAAAAAAAATAATATACAGAATTCAAAAATATAAAATATTAATAAATATTATCATTTTATATAAGTAATATTTTATTTAATGAAATAAATCTTTGCTGAGGCAACAACAACTGCATAAAAATTTGGGAAGAATTAATTTAGAAACTAAACCAAATGATCTCAGAAAACAAAGTAAAGTGGAAGTTTAGTATTCTACGATAGTGACTGGACTCGAGTACTCGAATCATTTATTTTATTATAGTTATTTGAGTCATTCGAGTTAAGAAATTTATTGAAAAATTTTGTAAATTAAACTAAATATATTTAATATTCGAGTAATTAAGTCACTTCGGCCACGAGTTGACAAGTTCAGTTTCTATTCTACGATAATATTCAGGGATTTGTCGGACAGTGATCATAAATTAATTAATGCATAAGGTTGCCAACTTTCGATCGAATCTAAGAGGAACAAAGATGCCCACTGACTCATGATCATAGTCCTTAGTTGGTCAGCTATTGTGCTTAATTTTATTCTGATCACTGTTTAGATATTCGTTTTTTGTTTTGTGCGATAACGCTATACAACTATTTAATTAGCAATTATTATACTGTAATAAATGCATTATGGCAATGCTTTTTATTGATAGTAAATATTTAAGAATTTGCTAAACAATAATTTGCCTATCCAATCACGATATTGCACATAGCAAATATTCGCGAATTTGCTAAATGATAATAATTGTTATTAACAACAAAAATGGCGGAATAAAAATTCAAAGATCGTTCGAGAATATTCCAATGATGTTTTAAGAATCAACAATTAGAATATCACAAAGCAATAGTTTAGTTCTTTGTTATAAAGTTTATGATATTAATTTATTATTTTAAACTAGTGATGCCGACATAACGTTTTAACATTACCATGTTTTGGGTTTTGTCTCATGATAAAACTGATATTAATATAAATAGTAGGTTAAAACTGTTAAAACAAAACCGATAAAACTAATTAAAAGTGTTGGTTAAAATACTGCTATTACGTATCACATTACGTAAGAATCAATTACGTATATAGATCAGGGCTAAAACGACACATAGTAAATGTCAGCCATTTACTGCGCCATTGCTTATTGTTTAAAGTATCTTTCTTGATACTGCATCAAAATTATAATATAATGTGAATCAAGAAGGACACTTATTGAATGGCAGGCATTTACTATGTGTCGTTTTAGCCCTGATATAGATATTAAATTAAACATCGTTATTATCAAATTACGTATCAGATATATTAATAACTCTTACTTATTCCAATGTGATAATATTGACAATAAATTAATTGCTGTTAGCGACTGTTCAGTTTTCGATTAATAAAAAATCAAATTCTGGTGGCCGACCTCGAGGAAAAATATGGAATGCTTATGTTGTCAGAACAAAAAAAAAAATGGAAATTACTATTCTATTCGATGCGACTATTGTTCTAAGCGTTAAATGTATCGGCAGGATAAAATTAAAAATCGACAAAATAATTATCGAAGTACTTCAAATACAAAAACTCGCAAATCAACAGATTCTTTTAATACAATAATTCAGAATCACTTTCTATAAATCATCAAAATTCTGGATGAAGCATCGAATGTTGTTGATGAGGTCTTAGAAAATGAGACTGACGATAATTAGCCTTAAACAATACAGTTTAATAATACAGTTTAATAATACTACAGTTTATTAGTTTAAATTGTTTTATCGCAAGCATACGCATCAATGTAAACGCTAATTTAATTAAATATAAAAACAATACAGTTTATATTTATAATACAGTTTATTATTGTTTTATTGCAAGCATACATATAAAGTTTTATCAGTAGTTTTATCAGTTTATATTTTGATAGTTTTTACGGTTTAATCGAAAGCGTTAAAAATATAAACAGTATAAACCTATTACGTAGCTAGTTTATATTTTTGTCGGAATCACTAGTGTATACGACTCAATTTTATAATAAAATAATATTAAATAGGAAAGTTTTATATTGATCTGTACAATATTAGCATCAGAATTTTGGTTATGCCAAAACTTGAAAATTTAGTTAACACTATGATATTTCATTTTTTAGCAAACTAATAACGATATTAAACTACTATTCTTTATATTTACATATTATAATTCTTTATTATTTATATATTAATTATTTACATATTATAATTCTTTATTATTTATATATTAATTATTTACATACATTTATTATTTACATTGTAAAAAAAAAAAAAAAACTTGAATACTTAGTTTCTGCTAATAAATTTAGCATATTTGTTCTAGTCACCACATAGAGATGTATCTGAGACTAGGTTTATAACAGTCTAAAACTGTATCCTATAAAGGGCATATGCATTGAGTTACTGTTCTTGGAAAAACAGTATAGCCGTTATAACCACCCCATGAATGGTTCAAGCACAGCCCACCAAAGGCTAGAAAAATCTCTTCTTAAATAAACTGTTTGGGAACAGTGATAGAAAACTCATTAATGTTCTGAGTTGACAAAAAAATAAATCTAAAATTAAACAAAAAATAAGTAGATCAGATCAACAGCCAATAACAAAATAGGAATATAAATCAAAACAATCACTAATCAGATCATCAGATCATAAAATGTACCATACTAAAAATTTGAGTTTCGCAAAAGTAATACAACTTTTTTTTTAAAACATAATATAGTTTTATATTTCATGTTTATGTTCAACAAGGCTTTAACTTCTCTGATTCTCTTCTGATCCTATTCACTTCAGAACTTTTACTAGTGACATTATCAATAGGTAAATCATGGAAAAATACATAATATTAAAAGGTTTTGTAGCCTTTTATTGTTTGAATCAGTTGAAAGGTAATTATTTATACACTTTAAAGTACTTTAATAAAAACATAATACTTATCATTATTGTTGTGTAATAAATATGTACAAATTTTACTTCATAATAATATTGATACTCATTATATTAAAACTGAAATACTAGTTTATTAGGTATACAAATATCAAAATCAGTTAATTAAAACTGATGTCAAAATATTTAAGTAAGCTTTGAAGAATTTTTATAATATTGCTACGTATATTATTAAACAAATGAATTTAATAATGCAGCACTGTACTTATATTTTGTGTTGTATAATTAATTTTATAGAAGTTAATTGTCAAATAGATATAAATGTTGGTTTAGTCAAATATATATATGTGATAGTTTAATTTAATAATATAGAATAAAGAATATAATATATTTAGTAAAAAGAGATAGCAGAAAAATAGGACAGAATTATTATCTAAAATATAATTAAGCTTCGTCGATAATATTACTACATATCATTTATTCATTTATTCATATTGATATTAAATTTTTTTATTAGTTTGATTGGTTAGTGATTGACATATTATGCAAATATTACATTCATTTTTTGATTGATTAATAATAATGTTTTGATCATCATATATAATAAAATCAAATTTTGAATGAAATCAAATCCGCCTATATGAAATCACATAATTTTTAATATTAGGTTTGTTATCAAAATAACCTAAAATTAATTATTATTATGTATACTATATATTATAAATATTTTATAGTTAATTATTTTTTGATTTTATATAAATTGTTTGAAAATTTTACTTTTTTACTAAAATTCTAACAAAAAATCCTAATTTAGCAAATTATTAGTAATTTTATAATTAAAATATACTATATATATAGTAAAATTGCAAAAATTTAAAAATATAACTAGAGATAGATTAGTTCAGTCCAGTCCATCTAGTCCTAATAAGACTGGATCATTAATGTTTTTTGGTTCAGTCTCAGTTCCAAAAGTGGTTCTGATCTCTAACTATTCTATTGGCTAGCAAAGAGGATTAAATCATATAATATTAATAATTAAAATAAATAATTGTCTAAAATACTTTTTTAGTATTTTTAATTAGCTATTTATGAAAATCAGTTTGAACTGGTCTCAGGACTGGGACTGGCTAATCATGAGACCAGTTAAAAAGATCAATTCTTATTCAGTCTTTTTAAGACTAATCTATCTCTACTTGAGAATACTAAATACATGCAACAAAACTACTTTCAATATTTTAAACTTTATCATATTTAGGACATCATCAATCAAAATATTTCAAAGTGCAATTAATGATTTTTAAAAAATATTATACCAAATTAATAAAAAGTCTGATATATCTAATTGCAATATGAGAGTGTTATTCATTATTAATAACATAAATTATATACAAATATCTATATAATAATAATAATTATAATAATATTTAAGTCAATTTTATCTACATAACCTCAAATGACAGCTTTAATTTAACCTGATTTTTTTTAATCCAGAATTTTCAGAAGTAGGTAACTTGTGGTTTAGATCTATAGAAAAAGAAATCAATAATGAATTAGAGAGTGAGCTATAATATGATGATTTAAATAACTGTGAATCTGAGGATAAACCTAAAGCATTAGATTTACTTGAAAATGATAAAGATGTTAATTAAATAGATAACAATATAGAATTTTTGAAAATTATTGAAAATGTATGCCCAAGTGTTAAAAGGTTATATGAAAGTATATTATATAACTGCAGACCAGGAAAAAAATGGTTTATGATGATTCTACCAGATGAATTTTTAAAGCATCATGCTTATTTTCAATCATTACCTAAAGATATGCAAGATATTTACCTTATAACACAAATATTTGCATTTGATGATGGTTGTATAACATTACAATTAAACAAATTAGTTCAAAAACATAAACATCAAAATATAAAAACTTTTTGGAGATATAATTATAATGCTTTACTTTGTAAAAAAGTTTATGAATAGATGTATTGTATTTCTGAAACCCATATTAAAAATATCAAACAACATCTTAAAAACAATGGGCTTAGTATATAACATCATAAAAATAAAGGATTATACCAATTCGACATTCTATAGTAGTAGTTCATAATAATATTGTCAAACTAGTTTGAGACTTTATTAATAATTATGCAGAAATACATGGTTTACTATTACCAGGTTGTCATGTGCATCAAGATGCTTACCAAACTATTTACTTTCCAACAGCTGATACAAAAAGAAAAATTTATAATTTATATATAGATTCTGTAGTAAATTTTGATGATGCAAAAATGGATGAATCTACTTTTTGCCATTTATGGGATATTTATATACCAGAAATTCAAATTATGTCACCTCAATCAGATCTTTGTGAAGTTTGTCAACATCTCAAATATGAAATTTCACATAATTGTGATGATACCATTATTAAAACCAATAAATATATTATACATATTAATTTAGCTCATGGTGAGTGAGAATATTATAATACTTATATTAAACTTGCAATACAAGATGCCAAATTATTTTCTATTAATCATAATCAATTTAATAGTTTTAATTTAACTGCTCATTATACATTTAATTGGGCTCAACCTTTTTTTGTGCCATACTCTGATCAACAAATCAGACAAGTATATTTTCTTTTACCTTACAAATTTCAATTATTTAGTTTTTGTAATATGGGTATACATGAACAAACAAATTTTGTTTTTCCTAAATGATTTATGCCAAATAATGGAAAAGCAGAAAAAAGTGCAAATACAACTATAAGTACAGTTTGGACAGATATTCTTAAACATAATAAAGGTGAAAAAAAAACTTAATTTAGTTTGTGATAATTGCAGGGGCAAATAAAAACGATATAATAATTTGGTTTTGTGCATAGCTTGTTGCAACAGGAATTTATTTGGAAGTTCATTTACATTTTATGATTGCTGGGTATACAAAGTTTATCATTGATAGATTTTTTGAAAATATCAAACTTTTATATCACAAATCAAATCTTATGAGTACTAGTAATATTGTTCATATGTATAATAGAAAATTCAACAACATGACTTCAGAATAATGCAATTGTACAAGGCCCAGACTCCGGAATTATTTATTATAATTGGAAAAGTTTTTTAAGCTCTATTTATAACAAACTTTCAAAACTTAAAACATGCCATCATTTTCACTTCACAGATAATGGTAAAGTTTTTTGTCAAACCCACAAAGATGGTCCTAAAGTTATATATGAACTATTAAAAATAAATACAAACTAGATATTACAAAAAACCCTCAAACAATTCCAATTCATAAATTAACTATAGAAAGGCAAAAATTTATTTGAAAAAGTTCGGCCATATATTAATGGTGATGCGAACAAAAATGAAATATGTCCAATGCCAATATTATAACGAAATAAATATAATTATAAAAAATTCATAACGGTTAGCTAATAATAGTTATGTTTAAGATTTAGGATGTATACGTAGATTTTTATTGGTTATATATATGTACATATACGTACAAGTAACATGTTACAATTAGACATTGAGTCTGAATTTAAATTTTGTGCAACAATTTTTAAAAAATCATTAATTGCACTTTGGGACGTTTTGATTGATGATGCCCCATTTAGTGACCATAAAAATTATTGTTACGGTTGATGCTGAAGTTTGGCTGATGTTGAAGCTAAAAATCTGATTGGCTAAATTTTGCAGATCACCCTAACCCTAACCAATCAGATTTTTTAGCATCAGCCATCACAATTATTAATTTATCAATATATTGTTATTTATAGCTCTTTTCAAATTATTGTGTCCAGTGCTAGGTAACGTGTTCATTAACAACAATGTACTATGTTGGCGATATATCATATGAAAATAATTTATCAAATATAAAATCATGACATTAAAATAATTTATAAGTCATCAGGAATTGGCACGCTATCAAATTGGTTGCTGCCATACATTTCCAATAATACATTCGATCTCTCGCGTGTTGATGTGCTTTGAAGTGTACATGTGATCTGGGTGTGTTTGAAAAATGATTGGTAATCTCTTGATCATTTTATCAGCCACAAAAAACTGCTTTTTTATTTCATTTTCATCCTGATCTTTTAAATTTTTATTCCATTCATTAAGTTTACTTTGAATACTTGAAGCGGTAGGTCGTTTCTGTGGATCAGAATCCATGCATTGTTTAGCTAATTCAACATAACAATCAGGTGTACCAGCCGCAAGCCCTGGTCGCAATCCTAAACAAATCTTTGTTGCAAGATTATTATCAAATGGTATTCCATCAAAAGGTTTTTCGCCGGTAGAAATTTCTGTCATGATTATTCCCAAAGAATAAATATCTGATGCCTGAGTATACGACTGATTAAGTAACACTTCCGGAGCAATGTAAGGTAACATTCCATAAATTCCTCCAACTATACTTTTCGCAACCCTAAATCTGCAATATAAGCATTATCTATATCATCCAGTAAAATATTACCACTATGTAAATCTCTGTGAATGTATCCTTGAAAATGGATCATGTCAAGATCAGAAGTTATACATTGCAACAACTTTATTTTTTTTTTATCCAATCCATTCGTGTTATATCGATAAGATTTTTACTTAAAGATTTCTTCCTGGCATATTCCAAAACAAGTATATATCTTCCATCACTGTGTTTTGATATTCCATAACAATTTAAAAATGATGGATATACATCTCTGATTTCACAAAATACTTTTAATTCTTTTACAAATTCTAAACTGTTATTTAAATCAAGGATTTTAAGTGCAACTTCTGTATGTAAACCTTGACTTATATCGTACCAAAGTGCATAATATACAATTGCAAATCCACCTTCCCCTATTTTCCTAATATCTTCAAATTCTTCATAAGGAATCCATGGCAGCTGATATTTGTTTTCAGTCAAAATTTTTTTAAATCATCATCAAACTTTTTAGACGCACATTCATATTTTACTACATTATATAAAAAATACATATTTTAAAAAAAATATTAATAAATGATTAAAATAATAATGTTAATTACCTGTTATCGATTGCCTTGCTCTTATTATTTAATTAATTATTAAATAAGTAATATGATTATAAACAAATATAAATTAAAAATAACATAAATAACATTTTACCTTCGATACCAATAATTAGCTTTTTGTAAATCCCTCTCTACTCCGATTCCATTTCGATAACATCGATCAACTTTAAATATTCCATTGTTGTTACCAATATCAACAGCTTTTTTATAGAATTCGAAAGCTTTTTTTTTTATCCTTTTTAACTCCAATTTCATTTTCATAACAATATCCAACATTATATGTTCCATTAGTATCACCCATATCTGCAGATTTTTGATAATAAATGAATGCCTTATGTTCATCCTTTTCAACACCAATTCCTTTCTCATAACAATATCCAACGTTATTTGTACCAAGAGCATCACCCATATCTGCAGTTTTTGTAATAAAAGAATGCCTTATGTTCATCCTTTTCAACACCAATTCCTTTCTCATAACAATATCCAACGTTATTTGTACCAAGAGCATCACCCATATCTGCATATTTTTGATAATAAATGAATGCCTGATGTTCATCCTTTTCAACTCCAATTCCATTTCGATAACAATATCCAACACTATATGTTCCTCCAGCATTACCCATATCTGCCGATTTTTGATAATAAATAAATGCCTTATGTTCATCCTTTTCAACACCAATTCCTTCATCATAACAATATCCAACATTATATGTTCCTTCAGCATCACCCATATCTGCCGATTTTTGGTAATAATAAATGCCTTATATTCATCCTTTCAACTCCAATTCCTTCAGCATAACAATATCCAACATTATATGTTCCATCAGCGTTTCCCATATCTGCCGATTTTTGATAATAAATGTCACGGCTGATGCTGAATATCACGTGAGAATTCGGGCATGAAAATTCTTTGTCAAAAATCGCTGATTTCTCAAAAATATTCATAAAAAACAACACTTTGTATACTAACAAAAAGTTTTCCTTGAGCGATTTTACTGTATAACCTTCCAAACTCTAACGTTAATATAGACGATAACCCTAACACAAACGAACTTGAAGGACTTTGTCGTTGGTTTTGATTTTTCCCTGATCGACATGCGATCTCATGGGCTGAAATTCGTCTAATTGGCTAGTTTCGTAGATCAATTTGTAGATCTACATGTGATTATTAGCCAATCAGATCACATAATTTGCAATTCGTCATTTATAATATTACGGTCAGTGTTGTCAATTGGACTGGACTAGTCCACTGGACTATTTGTTTGGACCAATTAGTCCAATAAAAATTCAAGTTACTGGACTTAAGATATTAGTCCAATAATTTTATCCAATTAAATTTAATCATGTGATAAAGTTAAACCAATCAAATTTACTAATCGATAATTAATATTAAATAGCTATGCATTTTGTTGCAGATTAGAAATACGATCATATCTGATGAATTGTATAGATTATTAATTAACAGAGTCTTAAATATAGACATATTTGTCAGTTTAAATAAATTTATCACTCTGAATTTCTTTATCTTAAGCAAAAATAAAGAATTTTTGTAACATTAATGATAGCAAAACTGTTTTGA